ATAATATTATTATATATATTTTGAATTTAATATGAACCCTTATTATTATCATTTGGGTTTTGTTTTTTTTTTACTGATATCACCTAAAGATCCCACTCAAATTTACAGCCTGTAAAATACCAATATGAAATACGAAAAACAGATAGGCAGCTGGAAACTCTATTTTGCCATTTTAAGTCAGAGCTTGAAAATTTTAGGACATGTAAGTGTCTTTTGTCTGACTGCCATCTCCAGGCTATTGTCTAGAACAACTAATCCAAATGCAGGCTTCATACCTGCAAGCACATCCTTATGTGTCAGTAGTCTTGTTCAGCTCATTAGGTCACTTACGCGTTCCACAATTTACACCCATTGGGGATGGTTCCTGTGTTTGTTTTCATCTAAGGGTTTTGTTCTGTGTTTCAGGTTTAGTCCATTCAAAAGGAAGGCCTCTTTTAATAACAACAGGATCTCTGTTGGAGTCGTCATACTTTTGGCTTGTGCCATGTTAATTCTGTTCTCGAAGATTAATTTGGGGCAGCAGCAGTATAAAAACACATCTTCCTATGTTTATACCAGCATCTTATCATTTTGCTGTTAGTTATAATTAAACCCATAGTCTTAATTTGTATGCTTACAAAAGCTGAATGTTCTAATTCTTTCTTTTATTGCATCAGGCTATGTTTGATGCTTTGTCCGATCTCCCTGAGTGGTATGGTATAAAAGAAATGCAAGCAAATTGGATAGGTGACTGTGTTGGATGTTCTCTTGACTTCTTACTAAAGGTAAGTCAGAAGTTTCAATGCTGCTGTCTTGGTTGGCCTAACCCCAACCCCTGAGATGTGTGACGGGAATGGATTTTCAGATCTAAAAAGCTTGAAGCCTACTAAAAGAGATTATTGTATATTCATGCCCAGACCAGCACAGATCCTGAAGAACACCACTTGTGGGTTGAAGAGATACTCCCTGCTGTCCTCCTTAGGAAAGTGTTTGTGTGTTCAAGTGCAATGTCAGATGCAAATTGGCTGTGTGTATTTGTGCCAAAATACATGCCAGCTAATAAGCATTCCTGAAAGCCAGGACATTTAAGGGAGCAGTACCAAGAGCAGTATCAAGTGGCAGTGCACAAGTCAGCTGGGATCTGCCTGGGCTTTAGCTCCGCTCCGCACAGCACCATCCCTGTGAGACCCAAGCTGACCTCAGGCAAGCCACTTTACTGACACTTGTCCATTATTTCATTTATTACCTACAGTAATTAAAATAATGAAAACCAGACAATTAGGTAGTGATGGAGCTACAGAGAAGTCTGGATAGAAAGAAAGGAGAGGAAGGAAAGAGAAACCGTAAGAGAATTATAGTTATCTAGAGAAAAATGGTAAGATCTGAAGTCCTTCTGAAGAGATACAAAAGGCTTTTTGAATATGATAGTGACAGAGAGATTTTAAGAGACCCTGGTGGAATTTCAGCCCTTGGGCTTCAAAGCTTTATTGTGCTCATTTACTCTGGTCTAACATTTTAAAAGTGACTTCTTATTTTAAAATACTGAATTTTTGCAAACCTCAAATTGAGACAGCTTAAACTTTCTTAATATCTCTGAATTGCGCACTACTAGAAGGTGCATTTTTGTATTTAAGTTGGTTTTGTCAATTGTTTCTGAAAATGTATATCAATACCTGTTGTAGTAAAACCTTCTAAGACCCCCATACACTCCACAGTTAATTGACCTAAAATATAAAGCCTGTTGATAGTGCTGGGTGATAATTCTTAAGCAGTCTTCTGGGTTTATTACTCTTTATTTTATGTCCAGTTGTTTTAATGTTGCGCCACCTTTTATTATTTTATTGCTGTACGTAAGCTGCAGCATTGACTTAATCAGGGAAGTGTGGTGGAAAGCCTGGTAGCTGAGAAAAATCTTAAATTCTTTTTAGATTTCAGAGGTAACATCTTATTTCCGTTTCTTGGAAGCAGGGCATGCATATTAAAAGGGAATAGAAGGATTCCAGGTTAGTTAACCAGGGATTGAATCTAGCTCAGTAGCACAATGTAATATTACATATGATTTTAGAATACAAGTATTTTTAAATATATTTGGATAAACCGAGGCAAGAGTGTAAAGCAACTTTCTCAAGGTCTTAAAAGTAAATTTTGTCAAGATTTGATTCTGGAAACTCCCTATAGTGGGAATGCATCTGGCTTTGATATTCAGAATTGTTTATTTCTACAGGGTGATGTGTATTTGTTAGTTGCATAGAAAGGAAGGGGAGTCTAAAACCACTGCGCTTCCAATGGAGAAAAAAATAAATTCATTTGGGATATTTTCTGCCCTTTTTCAGGTTAATGGTACAGTAACAGAAGAGAAGCTAGCAGCTTATACCTATACGCCTGAAGCCATTTATGGAGCTTCCCATTTATATATCTTACCGACTCACAGGCTGCTGCATGGGAATAGCAGTCTCAAGGAAGTCTTGCAGAGGGAGTTCATCCCAGGGAAAGGTGGGATTTTTCTTATACTGCATTTTGTTGTAGAAGAGTAACAATTTTAGAGAATGATCTTCAGAGAATGCATGTCAAGCTGAGCATGAGCTGTTCCTGTTGAGAGGGAACAGGTCTTTTGATTCTTTGTATGTGTCAAACACTATCACATCAGCCTGTCCTGGCTTCAGATACAGTAACAGCAGCTTCCTTAGAATTCTTCCTTTTATAATGGCTATAAAACGTCATAGTATATAAAAGCAATGGAACAGATTCTTGTTTCCTCATGTACCAGAAGGGAATACTCCAACTCTGACTATGTCAGCCCATTGGAAAATCACATGGCTATATGGTAATTTGTCATTAGCACAAAGACAGCAGAACCAACTCTTGCACCAACGATGATGTCTTCCTGTCGTAGGGAATATAAAGAGGGCAAGAGATCATTAATACATAGCAAAGTGGATCACTGATAGATAGCAAAACAATACTCTGCTGTGCTGATCCTTAGTTAATACAAGATTCTGATGGAGTAAATTCGGAGTAGCCCTATGGCAGGTCCTGACTTGTACAGAGGATACAAATAAGAAGTAATTCTTTAATTGATGTTGATTGGTTTCCTGAAGGCTCCTACCACCAATTCTGCCAGTTATTTAGCATCCCTGGCCTACTAGTTTTTTGTTCTTTGGAAAACCTGGAAATTATAAGAATAAATACAAAATATACTAAATATTTTTCTTTCCACTTCAGGCTGGTGTTCAGTATTTACTTTTTCCTCACTGGTAAACATGTGGCTTCATTGTCTATGTATCAACAGCAATGAAGCAGGAACCTTGTGGGAGATTGTGATGGTTGAACAGCACCTGCTTTATTTTTGAGTGCTTAATTTCTATAACCTTAATAAAGTTCACTTGCTAGCAGAAAAAAATGGAGCCTGAATGTGGTGAGTATGTAGGGTCCTTGTCTCAGAGCAGAGTAAAGCTTGGAGAATTTTTATTAAGGAACAAAGGAAGAAATTTGCAGTTCTTACAATTGAGCGAAATCAAAGCACTAACCCCAGAAACGCACATCCGTATATATGCCTACATCTTTGTTGGATCTTGTGCTTTAAGCCAAACCACACAGGTGCCAAACTTGGTTTTAATAAGGACTACAATATACTTTTTATATTATTTTTACATGAAAATACTTGAAAGGCTTTTTTTGTGCCTGTTAACAATAAACTTCACCTTTTGGTTGGGCTAAATTAAGGGACTCTCATCCAGAATAATGACAGCCATAAGACCTTGAAAAAGAGGCTTTAAAGTGGACACAATTCCAGTATTGTAACTCTGCTATTGTTGTGTACTCCTGCTACTCATAAATATATGCATTCATCAGTTGAAATTGGCTGATATTTCTTACTATTTCTTGAGCATTTCAAAGGCACGGACTAGTAGTTTCCAAAGAAGAGAACATAAAGGAGAAGAATTTCTACATGGACTTTCAGATTTGCATTTCAGCCATGGTACACATGAAGGGCCAACAATGGCACTTAAGTAAAAAGATTTTTGATGGCCTTGGATAGACTATATTTTCACATTAACCAAGATTTTTTGTAAAATGTTCACTAGTAACATTAAAATTGTAATTGTTTTCTTTTCAGCAGAGATAGTCTTGTAACTCCATTTCTTCACTGTGTTCTCATTTAAATAATTAGGACGGTATGTTTTTATGTTTCTAGGAGAGGAAAAAAAATGATGTTGTATGCCAAAGTAACTTAAAGTTCTAATACCTTTACTCTTGGAATACAGCTCTGTATTTTAGGCTATTATTATGTAAATAGAGGCGAGCAACCAGTTTTCAAACATTCATTTTTTTTAGCCTAGAAAATTTTATGTTAATTTAGCATCTGGTAAGTCTTCTAGTTTTGTCAGTGTGCGGTATCTGAGACAAAGATTTGATCCTTACATTGTTCATTATCTCATTATAATACTGTGCATACATTCTTTTACATTTGTAACAGTGGTATCATCTCTTTATGGCTATTACAGTAATGATGTGAGCAAATGAGCAAAAGAGTGAGTGCCTTCATAAACTGGAGTTATTATTTTGGGTTTCAGCATAAAATCAAAATTAATGCTGGGTGGAAGAGAGAAGTTATTTTTAAAAGCAGACTGTCCTACCCACTCAGCATCCTGTTCAGGAGGCTTTTTACTTAGTTGCTTTTGAAGAGTGAAATGACTCCTTTTGTGCATTTTTTTTTTTAAACAGAGGAGGAAAGCTCTGTGCAGTGGTTTGAATGTGAGAAATTTTATCTAGAATATGGGTATCTCAGAGACTTGAAAAAGTAGTAATCAGAAATAAATAAATAATAATGTTTGTGTTAACAAGACTGTTGAGATATAATAGCCTGATTCTCTAAAATGCTGTTACTGTATTTCAAGCAGATTTTATGCCTAGCAATACAAGACTGAGACTTTCCTCGGCTTAGCTATGAAGATGGGTTGAAGGAAGCTCTTAGCAGTCTGTATTTTATTTTAATTATTTAATTCTTTTAATTATCATCAACTTAACGGCACTGAAAAAGTTAGAAAGAGGTCCAAATTGAGATTTGGGGTTTGAATCCTCAAAACTTGGAGTATTCAAGTTTGATTTTCTTCTTGCTGAGCCACCAAAGCTACACATTGTAAATCATTTTCAGTTTATCACCCTTGATTCTCTCCTCTATTCTCTTCCTTTCCCTGTGGACATTAGGTTCCTCATCTGTAATATGAATAGTCTGTTTGGAAATCAATTGGTTATTTAGGTTTCTTTTTTTTTACACTGGTCAATATTTCTCGTGCTTTGTAGTTCTTCTGTAAGAAAGTAAATCATAAGCATAGTATATATGCTCCCCTTCAGTTTCATCTGAATAACTGGATTTTTTTTTTGCTTAATTTTGTAATGTCTGCTAGTATATAATTCAAGGCTTACTAGAGCCAATTCATACAACTCTGCAGCACACAAATAGTGGTCAAGGACTTGCTATTTTTTTATTATAGTCCAAATCTTCCTCTGTTTTTATTCAGGTGTTTGTTGTAAGTATGCTTTCTAATCATGAAAATTTATCAGACTTACTGAAGATTTTAATACATCTGAACTTTTTAGGAATGTCATATTTTACTTACTGTGATCATTACATTTGTTTTCAGATTCGCTTACTTCAGTGACAGCTGTGAATTTGCTTACCAATCAGGAGATTCCTGTAGTCATCTCAGCAAAAAACAGTTTTGAGAGTTTTCTTGATACTAAAATAGGTATGTGACATTTAATGTGTAAGTGAAATAGTATAGTTTTCAATTGCTGTGTTGGAGCACCAGATACTGTTGCGGCAAATCTTTGAACATGGTGGCTCTCTTCTGGACTTTGGAATCCTGTTCTTCATTACTGTTCTTCATTAGTGAAAAACGAAGAGAAAAGTAGCTGTGTGGAATCTGTCTGGGGGAGAGATTTACATGATGATAAATTTTAATTGAAATATTATAAAATTAGTACTTTTCATGAGCTAAATTTGAGGATCTGCATATCTTAGGAGGATTGATTACCTGCAGTGCATGTGTATTTGGCTGTTTCTCACCATCTTTAATCAAAACAGAACTGTACCATTGTTTGACATAAACATTTTGCAAACAACCCAAACTTCTAGCTTGTTTTTTGTCTTATGTTTACATAAATTATGTGCATCCTTATAGAGTAATGTTTCAGACCATAAATGTACAAAACTTCCGAGTTTATCTGATAATATTTGTTTTGAGATCAGTAAAATAAATCAGAAGAGGTAACAACTCTTTTTAGGTAGTCTTGGACAGTTATCTTGGACCCTTTATCTCTAAAGGAAGCATTCCCATAATTTAGGTGCCTAATTTAGGATTGAGCATCCATAGACAGAGGGGGAAGGGCATTGCTAGAGGATACTCTGAATCGCCGGGAGTGGGCTTCTCTTCTCAAAGTCATCCTGTGAAGCTGCTTGTCTTACCTAGCCCCTCAACTTAGGCAGTTAAATACATATGGTTAGATGGTGTGACTGTCCTTCTAAGTAAAATTAGAAGTTGTACTAACTTTTAAAAATTGTGTCCATTTTAATCTGCAAACTGTGCCTTCATCAGTAGCACCCACCAAGCTTTTTGTTTACTGTTGTGTTTTGCTGTGGTCTCATCTCAGCTGCAATGAGTAGGTAATGTTCTGTGCCAGTCCTAATAGGAAAATAGTTCTTTATCTCCTCTTCCCCCTTTCCACTACATCCTTATCCCTTGAGTGCCTTTTGTTGCCTCCCTGTTGTTGATACTTCTTTCCTGCCCTGGAGCTACTTCTTTCTTCTCTACACCACTGCCAATGTTGGCTGTTCCTGCACAACAGCTGGACTGAATAAAACCAGCTGATGCTGCAAAAATGTCTTGGATGACCCTCACAAGGCTGATAGAAATTATTCGCTTGGGCTCTGTACCTTACTTACAACATGCCCGCATCTTACGCTTTAGGAATAAATCTGGTTTTGAGAACTAGAACCTCTGCTCATGTAAGAGAAGCCAAATAATTGAGATACCTAATCATATATTTCATTAAAAGCTTCCAACTTGCTCACTGGCACGTACCTTGGCCTTATGTCTATTGGAAACAGCCCAGCTCTTCCCAGGACGTTCTGGATGCCAGCTGTTGAGCTTTGCGAGTGTACATTAATAGCATCAACTTTTCAAAAGAAGAAAGACCAAAAAGTGGGGCCTGCTTTTTCTCCATTTGTAGAGCATATTGTGAAGCCACCTGTTGCAGGCTGCAGGGCTCTGAAAAATTAAGATACATACATTATTCTATAATAGGGCCTTGAAACGGCAAGAGCATGCATCTGCTGGAAAGGTAAAATAGCGATTCCATATTTTGCTAGTTAGGGAGTTATTTGTCACAGGGCAGTTTGGCTTGGTTTTCTTTAGTTATCTGCTTCCAAACTTCCATATATTGACAGAGTTAATGTATAGCAGGCATTTCATTGCCTGAACAGATGATTGTTAAACCAGTTTTGAATGAAGTAGCTTGTATGTTAATAATTCTAATGTGCTCAGAAATATTTTGAGATTTTTTGTCTGTAGTTTTCATCAACCTAATGTTGGCATGGGCTTATTGAAGTAAGTTTCTTTGCCTTTTAAAGATGACAGCAATTGTGCAAGATTGTTCAAAATATTAAATAAATTCTCACTGAAAGGAAAAAAAAATATGCAGAAAGATGTATCTCCCTGTGGGAATAATAAATCTGTTAGTATTTCAATGTTATTTCATAATACATGTGATAATAAAGTTAAGAAATTTCTTAACTCACCCTGTAAAGTAGTCCTCCAAAGTAGAACAAAGTATCTTTCAAAATACACGCAGCAAAATCAGAGGGAAGATGTCATCATCTATCAATACGAGTAAGAGATATTTAAAGATAATGTGTCATTCTATGGTGCTGGTAAACTGCTATAATAAAAAAAAGTCTACATGGCTTAGAAGAGGAACTTGTATTCAAGATGTGTGACTGACCCAAATAATAAGATGCAAAGGGAAAGATAGCATCAGGGGCCTTAAATACTGTGACTTCTATAACTGATTTGAACAGCAGTAGGAAGTGCTCTCCAAAGTAGATATATTCTGAATAGAAAATAGATGTTACTTGTTTTCCTGAGATTATAAACAAATCATGTCTTTCATAATAAGTTAAAGGGATAGTAATGTTAGAGACTGTTGTATTGTGGTACGTTTTGATAAACTATGAAATTAGAAAAAGATTAAATTTACTATTGAAACAAGAGGACTATTTGGGTTGTTGGTTTAGTATTTGTTTCTCATATTAGCAAACAGATTCTAAATTTGTACTGTTTAAATATATTATATTTAGATAATATAATAATATTGAAAATTTTATTGTTTATCCAAATTTTGCAGATTTACTTTTATGTTTTGTCTGAACCATCTAATTTTCAGCCTTTTCTGTGGTGTCACATTGATTAATACTTGGATTACAGAGAAACTGAGAAAATGTGATTGTAATTATTGCTGCTTGAATTTCACTGCTTAAAGAACATTAAAACATTTTTATTGTTCTTGGAGTTTTAAACTCCTTTAGGCAAACATGAGTAATTATAAAAAGAGTATCATAGAAATAAAAAATTTTATCCTCAAATTGATGATTGATATCCATGTTAGTCAATCCCAGAACTAATTTTCTTTTTTTTTTTTAATCCCCCTCCCCACCACCCTCCCCCCAGGAATACCTAGTACAAGTGCAGAAGATGCTGCAGTAGCTAACAGTCTGGGCTCCTTTAGGCAAACATGAGTAATTATAAAAAGAGTATCATAGAAATAAAAAATTTTATCCTCAAATTGATGATTGATATCCATGTTAGTCAATCCCAGAACTAATTTTCTTTTTTTTTTTTAATCCCCCTCCCCACCACCCTCCCCCCAGGAATACCTAGTACAAGTGCAGAAGATGCTGCAGTAGCTAACAGTCTGGGTATTTCTTTCACTGAAGTCACTGAAACATTGCCAAATGGTTTGGAGAAAGTCATTAATTCTGGGGAGGTAGGTATATAAGTATGGAGTTCTTTCCAACTTACAGTAACAATGCAAACTAAATCTGTTTTCTCAAGAGTGCCAAATGATTTGTATGTTTAAAGGCTTTTTTTTTTTTTTAAGAATCAAGCCAGGCTTATGCTACCAAATTTCTAGGAATAATTTAATGATGAAATATGTTGGCTCTTCTGTAGCAAAAAATGAGGTTATTTTCCTTTTGTGCCGGAGAAGCAGCTACACTATTGGTCTGAGTTTTGTAATGGAAACTGAATAATTGATCCTATGTTAAAAGTTGATTCTTATTTCATCATCTCAGTACATTTTTAAGCTAAATATTAATATATTAGTCCTTCTTCCACATATTCATTGAAATGTGGCGTAAGCCTTTCTGGTAACATATCTGCCTGAAGTGACATAGAAATCTTATATTTAAATATAAAATATATATGGTGTTATAGCTCTTGAAAAAATGCATTTGATAGCAGACACAAAGCTCATAGAATTACATGACAGGTAGGGTCTAAGTGGTTAAGATGTATCTGAAAGCAAGAACGGAAAAACCCCACATGAACACAGGAGAAAGAAAGCTGTTTTACCATCCATGTTTCCTCAGTCTCTACCTTGTGTTGGTGATGTTCTGGAAGTTTCAGCATACAGCAGTTGATTAAAATATCAGCAGTAAATGCAAATATCTGCTAATAAAAGCTGAAGGGGTCTACAGGGCTCTTTCTCAGCCTTGTTCTATTCAGGCCATCAAGAACATTATGCTTTGATTTAGAGGGTTTAAATGAATCAAGTAATTGGTATGTGAATAGTCTCTTGGATAGAAGGATGTTAAGCAGCAGGAAGGGGAAAATTAACATGAGGCTCATAAACTTTGACTCTCAGAAATTGCATTTGTGACTTTTTTGTCTGTTCTTGCATTTTCACTGACAGCAAATACACATTTTTCTTTCTTCTTCTGCTTCTCTCTTTTTTTAATCAGATCACAGGCATGACTCGTCAGGAGGCGTTAAAAGCTATTACCCAGCAGGCCAAAAATAAAGGAATAGGTGGAGACCTAACGAGTGACAAATTAAGAGACTGGTTAATATCTCGACAGCGCTACTGGGGAACACCTATTCCTATCATTCACTGCCAGACATGTGGCACTGTCCCTGTACCTTATGAAGACTTACCTGTGGTGTTGCCCAGTGTAACCACCTTCACAGGAAAGGGAGCCTCACCTTTAGAAACAGCTCTAGAATGGGTGAACTGTTCCTGTCCAAGGTAAGCCAGTGCTGCATTTACTGCAGACTGGGAGAGATCTCTTTGTAGCTGCCCGTTTCCTGTGTTCTTTCTGTAAGTGTTGACAACTGACCACTCTGAGCCAGGATACCACTCCAGAATGATGTTTAGTCTGACCCAGCACTGCGTTTTTTTCTTACATACTCTGTAAAATTCCTTTTTTGCAACACAGACACCCACTGCTATTTCTTCATAAACAAGCTGAAAGCTTGCTGGTTTTAAGTTGGAAGAAAGAAAAAAGGAAAAAGTGAATGATCTTCTCCGTGCCCTCTATTTCTTAACAGTACTTCTCACTTCATTTACTACAAGAATTTTCATTATCTTTCACCAGCAGAGTTCATGTAAAGCTTATAACGATTATTGCATTATTTCCTTTTGTTAAGGAAACTAACATCATGTTCATTTTCTTAGCAATAGTCCAACAATAAAGTGTTTCCTCAGCTATATAATTCTTATCATGAAGAATCACATTCACTGTGTACTAGAGATGACAGCATATAATTCAGATTGAAGGAGATAGTAAGTATAGGCATCTTGTCAGTGTTGTAATCTTTATTGTTTGTAGTCCAGCGGTTTAAGAAATAAAACAGCCTAAATCAAGTAGTGAGAGAGATGTCATGAAAATCAGTTGTCTGATCTTGAGGGCTGCTTAGACACTCTGTACACTGGAGTTTGCATACAGGTTCTGCAGAAGGACTGGTAGAACATAAGTTATCCCGGAGAAGTTTTTCATCAGCAGTGCAACACAATGCTGCTGCTAACAGGATGACCAAATGGGAAGTACGTTATCAGGCTGCCAGGCAGGGGAATCAGACTTATAAATGGACTCTCATTGATAATGAGCAGTTTTGCAATATCTCACTGTATTTTAACATTTGCAGGGTAGAATATTAGCGTGGTTTTCGTTTCTAATTAGGTAGCTTAAACACAGCAGTTCTGTGGTTCTCTGGGAACGGGTATTTTGACCTTTGTTGATAACATGTATTTTATGTAAAACACACATTTACTTCCATGTTCCTGCATAGAAAATTTCTTCTCAGATATGCCTATTTAAATTACATACAGTTGGTGTATTTTAAAGTGTGACTCTTGCAGGGCAGCCTTACTAAACAAGGTCCACAGGTTTAGTAAAATCCCTAGAAATGCCTTGGTCTACGATTCCTAATTTCAACTGAAAAATTTTCCTGATGTTACTGAAAGTCACTGTCTGCACTCCTGGCTTCCTCCTGACCTTAATTCAAAAATGGTTTTGTTGTTTACCAGGCAACAAGGTACTTTTGATGTATAGCAAATCCTTATGGTTTCTGGATATTTATTGTGGCTGCCCTACTTAGAAGTTAATCAAGGGCATTTGTTTAGTCAGAAATAAAAGCGTACAGGATTGGTTTCTTAGCCTAATATGTGTGTGCTGAAATTAACTTTTTTTTTAATTCTCTTAGTTCTCACCTATTTGACCGCTATCATCAGTATTGCTCATCCATATGTATGCTACAGTTTCAAATCCTTTGAGCTATTGCCTTTGTGTCTGCAGTCTTCCTTGGTTTAACTTGCTCTGAGAAATTACGTCATCTCTTCCTTTAGTCCTTCTCTCCAGTAATAGGGGTTTTTTCATTAGTTGCTTTTAATATCTAGAATTAATAAGGAAAGCAAGACGGAAAGATACAAAAGTCTCTGAGTATTTGAGTGACAATAATGTAAGCAATCATAAATGCGAGGAGATGCCCTAGTTCTTCATTGTTATACAAGTCCAGGTAATTGTGTTAATTGTCTGAAGATAGTCTAATGAGATTATAGTATTGTGCCTGTTGTATAAATTTTGAAAGATGCCCATTCTGTCTGTGTCTTAGTGAGCCGTGTCCATTTAGAGTACAGGCAACGTCAGAGGCATGAAGCAGATATAATTAGGGTTCAATGACTGTAAAGTATTCTTGCTTTTGACTGAAAAGGCATTCTGTTTCAGTGTAATACAGTATTATTGTACATTGGACAAGTCTCTGCTTATATATACAATTTAATGAAATGGGTATTCTGTATTAAAAAGCAGTTAGAAGTAAAATTTCTTTACTACATTATTCCTGTTGAAAGAAAAACTGGGGCAGAGACAGAGAGAAGGAAAATATTAATTGGTGATACTCTGCTAAACTTGCCTCAGCAAGCCAAGCTGAAGTATCAGGCAGACAGGCAGGTACATGTTGCAGCTCAGTTATCAAGCCTGATCACAGACTAAATGTGCAGTTGGAAAATATTAAATAGCCAGTGCCCATATATTACGTATGTTTATTATACATATATACACATTTACATTTACATACATTTATAAATTGCATCCATTTGTTACATATAGCCAGTGGTATTTATGTGCAAGTTTGTCACAGGTTGCAAAGTTTTGTTTATATTAGAATAATGCCGTTGTTTTAACAGTAAGAGTTTTAGAGAGGAATCGTTTACCACAAGTGCAGGTTGATTAAATGTGTTTATTGGCTCCTACAAACAAATAATTTATATTCAGAGAGACACTAGCAGAAAGTAACCTGAGCTTCTAAAATTTATTTTAAAAATGTTTCTCAGGGCTGCCAATATAACTCCTAGCAAAATTGATTTGCAGTAATCACAAATTAAAATTGTGCTGCAAGGTCTGGAAGAGATTTGCTACATCTCAGTGAAAGCTGAAATTAAACTAAGTTCATTTTTTCTAGAGATGATAAATGGAATCTGCAAGGACCTTTTTGTACAGACAATCAGAGGCAACCACCTGCTCCATCTGCTGAATGTTTATAAAATTATTTGTCTGCTGGTACCTAACGAGTGTTAGATATATTGAGTTCCCATTAACTTTATGGCAAAGTACGCTTGTCTGTGCTTTAAGACTTGCTTTGTTTCTTTTAAAATGGCAATTCTAAAAAATTCCAGGAACATAGGGTGGAGAGGGCTGTCCAGTGTGGTGCTGTCTTCTGCTGTTGCTGGATCTTATAGCTGTTCAGGCTTCTTTTTGGTTTGCATTTTGTTTGGTTTGGGAGGGAGAGGGAAGGGGAGAGTTGGCCCTGTTACTTGTGTTGGGCTTCTGAACATATCACTCTTCAGACTGTTCAGACCCATTCAGTTTTCAATCTAAATGTCTTCATGGCCACGCTGTACATACACGGTTGGTTGTGTCCAAGCTTGTCACTTATCTAAGAATAGTTTTTCTCCTTCTCTCTTGCTCAGGTGTAAGGCAGCAGCGCGGCGGGAAATCGATACCATGGACACGTTCGTTGATTCCGCCTGGTACTACCTGAGGTACACCGACCCTCACAACACAGACAGGTGAGGGCTGCAGGCGCGGGGCCATCGGCTGGGCCAGCCCGCTTCGCAGCATGGAAGGGAAGGAAGAGGCCAGATGCTCTGGTCCTTCTAGCTGCCTTTGCAGAAGGCGGTGTAAACCCCTGGGCTGCCCTGATTTTGTGCCCATGGGTAGACACAGGGTAGGCTAGGAATTGCTTTAAAAATGTGGCATTTGGTTGCTCCCTTGCCAGGAGATCTAGAAGAGCAGGAGGTGCAGACACAACTGTGTAAGCACAGGAGCTACGAGGCAAGGGGCAGAAGTTTGCGTGAAAGGGCATTATGGCGCAGGGCATGGAGGAAATGTTCAGCTGAGGAGCTGAAGATAGTCTTGACTGGAGGATGCCATCAAGAATGACAGCCTGCCATAGAATCATAGAATTGTTTAGGTTGGAAAAGACCTTTAGATCATCCAGTCCAACCATTAACCCACACTACCAAGTCTACTCTAAGCCAATCAAGGGTAGACTAGACTAAACCATGTCCCGAAGTGCCACATCTACCCGTTTTTTAAATACTTCCAGGGATGGTGACTCCACCACCTCCGTGGGCCATTACTGTCTCTGAGACTGTGCTAAGTTGGCAATACCCTGAGTATTTCAGTGCATGGACAGAGAGTACTTTCCCACCACTAAGAAGAGGAATAGTCTGGTGTAACATCCAGCTGCCAAGAACAACACCCTTCTTTCTCTCCTTTTGAATTCTGGTAACTCTTGCTACTTCCTTGTGTGCAGACCTAAAGTCAAGTGGCATCGCAGCAAGTTCCTGCTGTGTCGGCACTTCGACTGTATGCATAATTAATGAAAGGAGATTTTTCATGTGCTGCGTATTAGTGGCTGCAGCATGGAGAGTGTGGGAAGATAGATATAGTTATTTAGCTGGTTTTCTGCTTCATAGTCTGCCTGTAGGAGCACTGCTGATAGGACTGGTTTTTCCAAAGAGGAATTAGTGGAACAGTTCTACTATGTAGTCTGAGGAAGATAGAAAGAGTTGCATTTTTTAGGTATTGATACGACATGTAGGGCTGTTTGGGGATTTATTTATTTTTTTGTTGTCCACAGCAGTGTCTGGGTAGGTACTACATACCAAGTGATTTAGTATAGCTGGGCCAATTATATTCTTTTTATATTGGCACCACCATTTTAGTTAAACTAAAGGAATATCTTCTGTGAACACTTTTATTTCACATTAATTTTAATTATTTTCTAGTGATACTGTGAATTTATTATTAATATTAAGTTATGCAGACTGCTTCCTCTCCAGTGACAGTTTAAAATATTTTTTTGTGCATGGATAAGAAGGACTTTTCCAGAAGTTGAAGATGAAAGAGTCAGATGTAACATCCAGCTGTCAAAGTAACAGCTTAGTGTAGCTAAATCTGGTTTATATTGAAGTAACATTTTTATGGTCTTCTGCATTAGATTGCTACCTCCATTTGATTTATTTATTTGGGGTTTTTTAGCTAAGCTGGGTATACGTAAGCCCTTTATATCCATAAGTCATATTTCACAGGTCTAGAATTTGGGAGAATTACTCTGTTGATTTTGGAACCTTGTGAACAAGTTAGTTTTGATTTGTTCCACTAAAGACATGAATCCCAGATCCATGATTTGCTTCTGGGTTCATCTGGGAGGAAAAAAAGTGTTGCTATTACAAAAATTACAAACGGAATAATCAAACAAGCTGACAAAACAAGTACATTTGTTAGAACAGGGCCATAAAGCATACATTAAAGAAGAACATACATACAAATGGTATTTTGAAGGCAGGAGCCCATTACAGGAGACATAACAATATTTAATGAAGCGGTAAGCAATGCTAGGAAACCATGAACGTGACCTCTAATGACAAGAGTAAATATGCTCTAAATGACAAATTTACTGTAAATTCATAGAGCATCCTTCAGTTGGAGTACGGTGATCCATCTGACTTCAAAATGTTTTGCAGGCTTATAGTAAACTGCTTCATTGCCCCCTAATGGCAACAATGCAAACTTCTAATTAAAAAAAGATCAACTGTTTTTGAGTGGGCATGTCTTTTGTCTTTCACTGTAATATATTTGTATGTAAAACTTGATAAATACTAAAAAATTTAAAGACTAGCCACAGGGTATTTATGAAAAAATCATTTAAAGAGCAAGCAAACATTTTCATCACTTTCTCAAGTAATGCATGTGGAATCTTAGTTGCTTCCCTAAAATATATGAAAATAATATTTTTGTGGATCTTCTTTTCAGAGGCAATTAAAATTTGGTCTACAATTTAATAAGCATATCACTTCTTAAAAATTAAAGCGATCTGATAGCAAAATAAAAGTTTTATTACACATGTATAGCTCTCAGTAAATAGTGGTGTCTGTCAAGTGTGATGAGCTGCTTCAGTAGAGCTGATCTTTCTTTTCCATATTGTGTTTTTTCTATAATTGTGTTTTTTTCAGGCCCTTTAATAATGACTTAGCAGACTACTGGATGCCTGTGGATTTGTACATCGGAGGAAAGGAGCATGCAGTTATGCACTTATTCTATGCGAGGTTTTTCAGCCATTTTTGCCATGACCTAAAGATGACAAAACACAAGTAAGCCTTCTATATTTCTATAAAAATCTTTCATATTTCATTTGACTAGCAAGAGTGTTAGTGGACATTGTTATGATAGAACATTACATTGAATAAGCCTGATTTTTCCTGCTTGTCAGTCTTGGCTAACTACTTGGTTTCTCACGGGCAGTTGCATTTTCTGTATGCATACATACATAGCATTTTTATTACATGAGCATTAACTGGCTCAGAGCAAATGATAAAATGTTGCTGTAGATTTTCAGCCTGCAGAAGTTTGCGTAAACTAGTAACTTCAGGCATTCTGAGTAGTGCTATTATTTCAAATTAGGTAACTTCATGCAGAATAATACCATTAATTTCAGTGGAACCATGCATATGTCGAAAAATAAGTACTATAATTCACTGCAGTATTGGAGCTGAACAGCGCAAAACAGTTCTTGATAAGCAAAGGCAGTATATGTATCTGCTGTCAATTTATTTTTTATTTAATGACTTTCATATAATTACTTTTAACTACTCTTGTTGCTAATGCTGCTATAGCCTAATTCTGCTGCAGGGTAGGATGGCCCTGCAGAGGGACCTGGACA